ATATATATATATATATATATATGATGCATGCTCATCTGATAAAGCTATAAAATCTTATACTTATTGAGTAATTACTCACTATAAACTCTATTTTGTAGGTAAGGATATTAACATCCTATCCAAGTAATTGGACAGGGAAATGAGCACGTGTTACTTAGATAGGAAAATTAGCACGTGCAAATCGTAGATATAGATGATGACATGTGGACATTTCGTGTATAAAAATATAAAAATTAGTTAGACATTATGTTTTGATTCCATTGGTTAAATATTTTGAATTATATACATGTGTTAAAAATACTTTATAAAAAAAAAACCCTATCATTTTATTAAGTAATTAGCATGTCTTACATGTAGTATATAGGTAAAACTAAGAGTAGGATATAGGTAAAACTAAGAGTAGGATGTTATAGCCTCGCCCTCATCCATCATTGATGACGCACCTCCACCTCGTCGTCAGGAAAGGTACATAAGGGAGGAGACAAATGACATGGATGTTAATGTAGAGGAGAGAACAAATGATAACGGGAGAGAGCAAGGGAAGGGAATGAACACAACAAGGCGAGGGTGATGTTAGAGGAAAAAAAAATCATCCTCCTCGTTATGGGAAGAGACGATGAGCTCTTTCAAAGTAGGAGGGCAAGGATGAGGACCCAATCAGCGAACGAGGGCATGACGACAACAACGAACGAGAATGAGAGTATGCTCAACGACAACAAATGAGGACAAAGAAGGAAACGATGAATGGGGGTGCAACATCAACGACGTATGTGTGATGTAGGCAACAGGACGATGAGATGAAGATGATTACCGACACAATAAAAGCCAAGAGTAATATCATCTTTTAAAAAATAAAAAATATTCCAGCTCCATGGAAATAAACAAAGAATGAGACACTTAAGTGAAAACTTATCCTTCAGCTATGGGATGCCGGCAACTTGTTGAAGAACAATTGAAATCGAGCCAAAAGCCGGAGTAACGTCCCAAATACATATATTTTATATATATACATAAAAAAGTCGCCACCAATACATCCATTGAAGAGATGCATCAGTTCAAACCTCCAGAAGGTAACCTAATTAAGTAAGACACGGCAAGAAACTGATACTATGGCGGGAGTCATCAACACCAAGAAAACGATGACATATTCTCGAGACAAAACGACACAGCCACCTCGGCCAACACACACCAGTTAGAATACAACAACGGCCAGCAGAGAAGTGGCAAGCAAAAAAGGAAAGGTGAAACACCGGTTAGAAGACAACGGCTGGTAGAGAAGTCAGAAGTGGCGAGCAAAAAGGAAAGGTGATACCGGCAGTGGCGTGAAAAGAGGAGACACGGCGGCGTCGTCACGTCGCACGAGAAACGGCAGAACACCAATGCTTCGCGAATGCACATCTCTAGGGTGGGTGGGTGGGTGCAGGCGATTACGAAGCATCCCGTAGGCCATATGATGTACGCATTCCACCGTACAGCTACTATATGCAACCTGCACAAAACAAAGAGGCTTTAATAAATATGTATAGATATATGCCGGGCTTTGCCAACCAATAACCATGCAGGGGGGAAGAGAGTACGAACACTGAGGCTTACCGTCGCTGGAAAAGAGGAATCAATTAATGATCATCACTGCTGGAGATCATGAGGCTGCCGGAGACCATGATCCATCTTCACTGGAGAAAGATGAACTCTCCATCTTGAAAAATATGATGGGAGACCCGAATCTTCTTTAATCATCATCAATATACACAAAAGACCTAACCCTAAAAGGAGTGGAACGAGGCAGATCTCCTTAGAGGATAATTTACTTTTCACCCTGGTATTCATGTGTCTGTGTGTGCTTTGGCATCAAAGATATGAAGGGCAGGGGTTGACAAACACTGGGGGAGAGGGATTGTGATTGCAAGAGCAAAAAATGGATGATTGATGAATTGATGCTCTACAGCGAGATACAGAGAGCAGCATCAGGAAAATTTTCAGGCTTCGAATGTGCAGTGACATATCGCTGTGGTAATGTTCTGCGAGGTGCAGCCTCAGAGGCAGAAGAGCCCCCAACTCCATTGGTCTGGCTTCGGCCGTGGAACTTGACTAAACGGTTCACGATGGAGAACCTCTCCAACTCCTGGCACTCCAGTCGCACATCCAATGTTGAGCCCTTCTTGTACAATCTGAAACACCATGAGAATCAACCAAAAAGAAAAATATTAGGAAAAGATTGTCTTGAAAAAGTAATGAAAGATAAGACTAAATCAACTAAACCAGCTAGTAATTGTTGACAAACTGCTAAGGTCAGCTGAAAATTGTTCATGGTTTTGCCTTTTTCAGCCCCAGAAAGATGAAGACAATAGCAGAACCTAATAGGTTGTACCGATCCACTCTTGTGGCCAAAGATTATTGTTTACTATGACAAAAGAACAATACGTCCAGAGACCTTTCTGGGCAAAGGTGATTTTGGATACCTTATGACTCATTGATGATCGATCAAAAATGGAAAAGAAATCAATGGATTTTCCTATTATTTCTAAACGACAACTCACTTCAGAAAATTTGAATTGGAATCAAACCCACAGATAAGACCACCATAATCAGATTATCAGGCACCTAACACCCTCAACATCAGATTGCCAATAATAAGTTATGGCCAATTGTGTACTAAGTGTCAAACAAGTCCCATGGAATTGATTAAACCTAACCAGATCCGACCTTTTCTACCTGAACTTCAAAAGCTAATGGAGACCCTAAAATAGGGGCTATTAACCCTCCTATCAGATATGAATATTAGATTGGAACCGGAAGCTAGCTCGGCACACATGAATGCACCAATCCAGAACAGACCAGCAAGGGCAATGGACCAAGGGAACATGCCCATGACAAGCCAGAACAGACCAGCAAGGGAATTGGACCAAGCCAGCAAAATGTCAACATGCCTTCGCACTGCATAAATTGTTGTCTGCAATATTGCATGACCACGATAAAATACAACTAGCATGGACTTACAATAAAATGCAACCAGCATGGATCAGCAGGATAAGATAGAACCTATGAGAACGGACACTAGTCAAACTTCCATGAAGAATTTAACACAATATAACCAATTTCTCAAGCCTACCACTCATTTTCTGCTGTCTTCATAACAAATCCAGTCATATTCTATTATTAGAGATCCTAATCCTAATCAGTAGAGAAAAATAGAAGCAAAAGGAGCAGGGGAAAGAGAAAGGAGAAAGAAGACGAAGCGACTTGGAAATAGGAAGAATCAGAAGAGAGGAGACCAAAGAGGAAGAAAAAACTAATTTTCTGAGTGTCAATAGTTGTTTGCCAATAGAGAAGAGATGCCTACTGATCATCTCCACTACAGGAAAGAGTTGAAGTGAGACAGGAAAAGAGAAGAGGATAATTAGCGATGGAATTTAGCTAGAAAGTGCATACAGTTTACCTTTCAATGGTGGGCGAGGAACGTGTCAGTCTATCTTAAAGCCAATTAATGAAGTGCCATGATTAAGAAACTTATTTTTTTGTTGTCATGGCAAGGATTAAGAGGTCGGAAATGTTTACATGCAAGAGTGCATAAGCTTGACTTGAATAGCAAATACAACTTTTCAATACAGGCCATGCTTGAATAATTGTCTACTTTATGTCATGTAATACTGAAGTTTGATTTAGCCAACAACACTAGTCTCTTCCCTCTATTTTCATTTGAGAAGTCTATTCTCCTCAAATTGAATAACACCAGGATTGAAAGAATCATATTAATTTGGTATCAGTACATGGCGATAAACTATGACTTCCACAGTGAACCATGCAACCACATCTTCTAGACGTTCAGTGATAAGTTTGCCATTTTAGCAACTAGTCTAATAAATAGGTTGGTGCAAATTGCAAAATTCAATGTCACAATGTAGAGGAAATTGAGAATAAGATTGATGGAATCTTGCAAAATGCAGCAACTTCCCACCACCACCATCCTCTGTCAATCACTCTCCAGCTTCCTACAATGTCAGCCAAGCAAACCATCCCTTTAAGACCATAATTTCAACTAATTATGAGATAGGACCACAAACCACAATTGTGATGTTTTCCTTATAACCGAGCACCAAACAACAACTCAACTCTTTGATGATTATCCCATCAACCTCTCCCAGTTTTGAAGGTCATTTGGATATCAAAAGCAGCCCTAGAATTAACTAGAAAGATGAGCAACAGCATGCTGAAAAATTCTTCTGTTGAAACTCACTGTTCAGTCCTAGATCAGCAATCTTACAGGTCAGCTCTGCCATGAGCTCTTCAGCAGCTGAAATGGACCAGGTTGTGAGACGTCAACCTCATGGCTTAATAAACACTTCACCCTTAAATTTTCTGTACTTCTTCTAGTTTTATTAATTCTCATGTTATTTCCTTGAGGAATCAAAAGGAAAATATCACAATGCTAATGGGAATACTCCGACGCTAGGGGTTTTTTTTTCTGGCAATCTTGGGAAAGCAATGTAGATGGGTCATATCCAATGCGATCTAAGAGTCTCGTCCACTTGATGGGCAACCCAAATTAGGAGGGGTTAACCCTAAAAAATAGTAACTATCCCCATCTCAACCTAACCTGACCCAACTCAATCCTAGTTCTAATCTAAATTGGACAATATATGACAATCATATTTCTTACAATTGGTATTTCAGTTAACATAGTAGGCAAACATAGACAATTTGAATTAATTTTTTAGTCATTCTAATGGACATTATTATAGCAAGATAGAGGCTGTAGGCATGAATCATTTCTCATTGTAACTGATGTTAAAGTGAGGCTTATGAAAATCTGCATGCCCACAGTGATGGATGACAAAGGCAAATAGGACATTGAAAAATCAAATACCAGTAAAACAGTCAAATTTTAAACACGGGCTAGTACCTGTATTGCGGAGATTGACATGCAAAAGAAAACAAACAATGCCAAAAAATACATCCATAAATATTAAGCAAGTACAAAGTAACATCATTGAGTCATAATGACAAATTCGTATATGAAAAGTGCATCAATAAAAAAAAAGGGGAGAATTTTCGCAAGGACCATCTACTGATGAAAGTACCTTGAGAATTCACTTTCAAGCTTCTTGGATCTTCCATTGAATTCTTCCACAATTTTTGAGAAAATATGATCCCTTAACTCAAAAGACTTTACCTTGTTTATTGCCCTTGAAAAATAAAATGTTTTAGAAGGGATCTAGCAAAGAAATAGAAAGCAACAAGAATCCATATGACATGCGTAATAAAGTGTGACGATATTGTGAAATAAAATCCTCAGGTGTATTAAGGAAAAAAACTTACAAATTTACATCTGCACAAGCATCTCTTTCAAATGAAGAGATTTGGTTGCATGCATCTGCGAGAGTTGATTTAGCAACATAGTAGGTCGACCTTTCATAAGCTAAAGTTGCCTCTCCATTAATTATGGCAGGTGGTACAGCGGGTAAGAGTTGTTGGATCATCTGAGTTGTCAGGATTAGTCGTCTTCGTGGTTGAAAATTTGATGGGCCATCCTCTATACTTTCAGCGTCATCAGCAACCTAGTATCAGAAAAGGCCCATAAAGTTTCCACCAAATGGAGACAGAATATAGAACAAAAGACAAAATAGCAAGGAAAGAAAATCAACAAACCTTCTCAATCAACCGATTGACAGCCTGAGCCCAAGCCAACTCAGTGATGCTGTAGATAATTCAAAACTTTAGTTTTGACAAAAGATTCAAAGCTAGAGGTTTCATTACTTGCAAGATATGAAGTATGAAACTATAATAATCTCTAGATGCAAAGAGTATTTATTTTGGTATTTATAGCATAGTCTAAAATTCATCAAAGTTTTATTGAGAATCAGCACCTGGTGCTTTGCAACCTTCGTAAACCTTGTGATATCTCCTTATGCCATGGAAGGAGCTTTGAAGTTGCACTTTTACGCTTCTTTGACCTTAGACCTACACTGTGATCCATGACGGTGGAAGGCAGTGAAAAGGCAGATGATTCATTGGCAGCCATAGCAGAGGCTAATGTACTTTGCTTCATGCTACCAAACTTACTGCTATCGGTTATTTGCTCAACTATAGGACTGCTTTCCATGCTTCCACAAAAATGGTCACGATCATGTTTAGCAATTGCCATATCATTTTTATAGGTCATATACTTTTCAAACAAAGACAAAGTCATTTGAGGACTACTCCTATAGTGTTCATTTCCACTAATTAAACTAGCTGAGGAGCTTGTATCAGGAGAGTGCATGTGGTCATGAAGATCATGATGTTCAGCAACAGAAGATATCTGTGTATGTCTCTTATTGTCCTTTAAAGCAAAGCTTAATGTTTTAACATCTGATGGGAATGAACTTTGTTTACCATCTGCAGGAACTCTGAAGAGTTCATTTTGCCTATGAACAAATATCTGACCTGCACTTTGCTCCATGTTAGAAGCATTAGAACTGATACCAGCTCCTTTCAACCTCTTTCCCAATGTCATGCCTGAATCAGAATCAGCATCCTTTATGGCTTGCATTTGATGCAGTAGCGAGTAATTTTGCTGTTGAGAGTCTGAAGGTACTGAAATGTGTGCAGGGAAACAAACATCACCTCTACAAGGAGCAGTATTTGTAACTGGAGAATGGACCACCTGGGGGTGAAAACCTGAACTTTCTCCACTTTTTTCCTTGTCAATATCCTGATGATGCTGGACCAAAGATGGAATAGAGACATTAGAATCTCTACAAAAAAAACTACTTATTGGTTCTAGGCCTTGGGGTGTCGTAGCTGAAAGAGCACCATCAGCATTCTCAGCATGTTTGGGTTTGAAGGAATTTCCTATAGTTTGATGGTCTCTGTCCTGTGAATTAATAAAACTAGAACCAACTTCAGTGGGAGCATTTTCTTCCTGATTTCCTCGACTATCTGCCAATTGCAGACCCCACGAACTTGCATCCCTGCCATGATTTATTATTGATTGAAGTATGTTTGAAGCAACCCTGTGAGGCTGGAGACCAGCTAAACGTTGTTGAGCTGATAAATTTGCCCACACATGATGCAACATCTTTGAGAAGCCAGCTTGCTGAGACATGCCTGATATATTAGACAGTGAACCAGATCTTGTTTCGACAACAGGGGAATGTTGGCCTGAACTTTTAACAAGAGAAGACACAGCACCTGTTGCCTTTGTATGAGTCATCTCTTGTGGATAAGCAGATTCATGAGTATCAGAAGTTGGAACAGCCAAGGAAGGTGGAACTGTACCAGCTAGAATAGGCAATGATATCTGAACAGATTGATCAGCTGCATCTCCATTATGGGCTACAGGCGGCTCCCTAAGGAGCATACTATTCCTAACAAGTATGCTTGCATTAGCTTGATTACCAAGATAATTACTAATAGTTTCATCTAATGCTTCATGACCACCAGAATTCATTACAAGTTTATCTTGCTGCTGCTCAAGCAGATATTTGATACCAGGGGGGCACTGCTCCTGCTTTCCCTGCAGCTGATCTCCAACATAAGGAAAATCAGAGGGAATAACAGGCAACATTTTCTTTTGGTCTAAGCCTGAGGTTCCCTTGTGTTCTTGTCCAGATACATTGGATGTATTGATCCAATTTTCTACTTGATATGATTCATGAGGAAGAGATCCCACTGTAGGAGTTGACAGCAATTGATCTTGATCTCCTGCCTCCTTGCCAAGTGGCTGCCTGTAATTAATGGTCTGAGGGGACACCTCAAAATTTGGAAGTGGTACACTTTGAGATGGTGTGGAAAAGTGCAACCCAAAACCATGCAATGTAGAAGGTTGACTAAAGTGAGGGCGAGAAGCAGTGACAACAGCAGCAGCTTGTGCAGGTACGACAGGTGTGATGATCTCATTGTCATCCCTTGACTGATCAACCTTGTGAAGAAGCTCAAACATATTTTGACTGCAAGAGATCAATATAGTTCAAGCACACAAATAAGATGGCAGCCATGTTGATGCCAAATTCAGAAATTCTCTAATCATTAATCATGGTAATGATAAGATCACAAATCTTCGATATATGATGTAAAAAGCATGGAAAGGAGGACCATGTAACCCTATCTGATATGGGCTGTATACATGTCCAAGTTGTAGTAGTAGATAAAACCTCGTAACCATATCTAATGTTCTTTGGGGTGAATCAGATCAGAATTACACTCAATATCTTATTCTATTTATGGATTTATTGCAGAAATTTCAACATAGTTCTTGCTGACAAAGATGCTCATGTAGGTTGATTTAGACCCTTTAACTTGAAATAATAAATTGATTGGATCTTATATGAGTCAAAGAAAAAGTCAAATAATAAGATGATATGCATCTACAAAAGCCCCAATTTCTCAAATTACAAAGAGATTCCTATAATCAGAAGGATCATTAAAATGGAGCTCAACAAACTAAAGCAAAAACATACCTAAATTGAGAAATCCTTTTGTTCTCAAAAGATTGTGCAGCTATTACATCAAAAGAAACATTTGAGGCATGGATGCTGTCTCTAGGCTGTAGTTCTTTTGCTCCATTAGCAATTCTCTACAAATTAGTACAAAACTTTTTGTTAATACAGGAGCATCATTAAAACCTTGAAATATATAGAAAATAAAAGAGTGGATGGTCAAACAAGAATGATGACCAAAGTGAAAAAATAAAACTTCATTTACCTTTACAACATCCATGGGTTTGTTCAAAACATCATGGTTTTCAAACTGTGAGTTTCCAACATATTTTGTCGCTGCACTTTTTACTCCTTGAAACACTACATCTGCCAGTCCTTGAAATTTTGGTGGATGACTTGGAGGGATAAAACATCTCTCACTCTTTTCCCCAGATAGAGTCGAATGCTTTTGGCTCCCAATAAAAGATCTTTGGCAATCAATCAATGCTGGATTCTCCTCTGCAGCAACTATATAGTTGGTATCTTGGCCATGGTTTAACTGGCTTGAACTATAGCCTTTGCCTGAAAAAAAATCTAGATGTTCATTTTTTCTGTCGTAGGTATTGGCCAATCTTTTGTTTGTGCTATTAATTGATGTTTCCCAAGTTTGCAGTTTCCTGCTTGGCTGATTCTGGCTACTTCCCATATTTTCATTACCTTGAGAATTTCCACATATATCATGGATGATTTTTTTCTCAGAAACAACTTGGTATCTATCGATTCCTTGCTGATTCATTTCCTGAGTTAAATTTAAGACATTTGAAGTTGTTGCAAACCTGGAGTTATCGTTTAAAGAACCCTCAGTCTGCACGTGTGAATTAGCAAGATTAGATTTTAATGGCTGTATCTCACAATTTGGATTAACATGACTGGCTCCCAGCTTCCACACATTGTCATCAGTACCATGTATAAGTGAAGTACCATCTCCATCGGGCGCCACAAGAGAACTAGTACTTGAACCATTTGGCCCATAACTGTGCTGCCTATTGGCAGTGGAAAAATATATGTTTTCTTGCTGATTCCAAACCCCCGCTATATTCTGTGACTTAAACTGCGCATCTGCAGAATTGTTTTCCGTCGGGTCATAAGTGTGCTCTGTCCATATTCGATTAGTTACTGGCATTTGTAATTGAAGACCACTTTCCAAGTATTGTTTTTGCTCCTGATTTTGAAGAAACTGTATTTTGTCTTCAGTAGACAGCTGAAAGGACACAATAGGAACTTTTGCTGGTACCCCGTTGTTGTTGCCATGTGAAGACTTAAAAGTATGTTGAAAATTAGGAACAGTATTCAAATTTGGGTCCCCACCAGCATCATAAGTCTGGGAAGGAAGTCTTGAAGTCGAGAAAGATGCACTCTGCAAGCTGCTCTCGTTCCAAGCAGCCAGCTGCCTAACAGTGCCATCAAATACATTTGAATGCATTAGCATCGGCTGTTCTGCTTTCTGGAAATTTAAGCCACTCCATTCTTCGTGGACCACCTGATCACTGCTAGAAGCTTGTACAGCTTCTTGCATAAGAGCACTCCAGCTCCCACTCTGGATAGAAGGGAATGCACCAAGATATTCACTCTGTGAAGGATGGCCATGTGGGTATCCTCCTATAAAAGAGTTAAAACTCCCTCCATTGGAAGCTCCCCAATTGTCATCATCATTGGTACCAAACAAGATCTTCTCTTCTGTAGGGTCTAGACTACTCACACCAGTGGAAGTCCCCACATGAACTGGAGGTTTCTCTTGTAAGTTACCTGACCAAACATTTTGTACCTGACCACCAGGAAATTCCTGAATTTGAAGACTATCTTGCATATGATTTACTTGCTGATAATTTCCTGATGTAACATCACTACTAAAAATTTGCATGGTATCGTTTCCCAGAACACCTTCCCCTTGGAAGTTATTTGTTGTAACTGAAATTGTATCCTGTGAGTAGTCTTGTTCAGGGAAGCAATGATCAGTTTGGAAATTGTTTGATGGATCAGATACCTTTTCTGTCTGGAAGCATGCTGCCTTTGGCATCAAATTTGTACCATCATTAGACATCCCAAATAATTGAGAACATTGATTTACAAAGGGATCTTGATTTGCAAAGGGTCTGTTGCCGGACGCAGGCATGCCATGCAAAGACTGATCAAGCTGCTGTGGCATGAACCCCATCGATCGCAGTGCTTGACTATGGTTATCTGGAAGTATGTGACCATTTGAAAGATCACACATGGCAAGTGAGACACTTGCCTGTGTGCAGTTCATGTTGCCAGAAAATAGCATTTGAGAGTTATTAGGCATCATGGACATACCCCTAACTGAATTACTGGGCCACATATTGTTTGATGTATCATTAGCAGACACTTCATTCATCACTCTAGGTAAATGAGCTGCTGATTTTGCCGAAACAGACAAGTGGCTAAGTAAACTCTGCTGTCTTGCTTCCTGATCTAGTTGTTGACATTGTTGATGTCTCTGAAGCTCTAGCATCTTATTGTACATCAATTGCTGTTGCCACAGATCCATATTGTTAAAGCTGGGGTGCTCTCTTGAATGGGTTTGTGACATTCCAAGTAAGCGGTTCCTATCAGGAAATCCTGACTATCAGAAAGATCTAACAGCCACTCAGCAACCTCTTTAGTTCTTCTGAATGATTGAACTAAAAATAAATTCCCTGCTTTAACCAAAACAAAGCTCTGGGTAGTAACACATAACTGTAAAATCTACAAAATGATTTACATATTGAGCTAGATAAGTCAAAGCTTCCAAAATGAGAAAAGGACCATTCCTCAAAGCCATCTTCCTCCAAACATTTTCACATGAAGCAGATGAATGTGAAACTATAAATTTAATGAGCTATACGTATGAGCTGCTAGATATTTTTTTATCTGAGGATTGATTGCTACTGCTTTCAAAGTTGAGATGCTCTTTCGGAAAATGATTTAATGAAGCAAGCTCATAAGAACTCTAAGAAATGCATAGCTAAGCACAAATAAGTTCAAAATTCTGAACTAGAATTCCATCAAATGCCAACCAAGGTACAATGTTTATGGTTGTCCAACTTGCAATTCATGAATGTTTAAAGACTATGGCACAAATTTTATTTACATATTAAATTGTGAATTTTCTTAGAAACTTTCTGGCAAAGTATCCACCGATCATGCTTGATAATTCAGTTTTCTTACATGATAAGCAAGCGCAACATCTTCCTTGCACAAAAAGTTATTTGCATATTAATCTTTCAGAGTAAACTTTCAGAGTGTGTGTATACATATATATATATATATATATATATTGACATCAATAATTTCTAAAACTATAAATCAAAAGTAAAAAAAAAAGAACAAAAACCTGAAATGTTAATGGTAATGAACCAATTTCAATCATAAAAGCTAAGAAGATATAGAATAACAGGCAAATAAATAAACCACTTAATTTTATATGATGTGGTAACCACTTCTTAAAGATCACATTTTATTACATGTCCAAAGGAAACACTAATAATTAATTGAACAAGAGAAGTCAGAAAGAATAAGTACTATTGTGTGACAAAGACTCCCCATATGAACACTAGAGTATACCAAAAGCAAATTAGTGAAGTTTCAAGACTCACTTGCTATAGTAGAAAGGGAGAAGGTAGAAGGCAAGAAGCAGCCGCACTTAAAGTTTCCCTTATTCCTTTTCTGAAGAATGTAACAGTTTGCAGTGATCTCAAGAAAGTACCCCCAACAGTATTTGTGAATCAAGAATAACTGCACATCAGCAAGAGGGACTTAACATTGTCAAAATAATATCACACCAATCGTGAAGATTTGTGCCTCACATTATCTCTGAAAATGTAATTCGGAAATTCTTCCAACAGTATTTGTCGATCAACAATAACAGGGCAGAAGCAACTTATAAATGCAGAGCAACAACGAAAATTAGATACAAACTTCAAGTTTTTTAACAAAAGTAATCAACAAGTTTAAAATGAAAGAGCATGACCATCTGCCAAGGGTTTCCTTTTCTAATTGGTGCAGAAGGCTCGTTCCTGGAGTCTAACAAGAGAGTAATTAGTTATCCAGCAAAATGACCATGTTAAATATCAGCTCTCCTGACATGTGAGTACGTTATTTCTGAATACGACTTAAATATAGCTCGGCCGCATATTGACAGGAAACAATAAGGCAAAGCACGATAAGCTAAAATAAATACAATTTTGAGCAGCACAGTTGTTTAATGCGCTCAAAATCAAACTCAAAAGGAACCGTACAAAATCTGCCACTCCTCCATTCTCGTGCAAAACAGTCCAAGAGAGGAACACACCCCTAGAAAACACGTCATTACCCAAGAAAATGGACTCAGAAAAGGTTCCTTTCTGCTATATTCCTGCTCCTCATTTGCGAAAACCATGACAAAAGGGGGCAAACAAGCGCTCCCAAAACCTAGCGCTGCACCCGCTTATGCCCACCGCGACGACGCCCCAACTCAAGACCCACCTCTGACGAGTCTACGGAGCACAATTCCAGCACCCCCGCCACTAGCCGTCACCAAATCGATAGCAAATGCGCAGAATTTCCAATCAAAGACCCAATAAAACCCAAGAAAGCACCAACAACCAAGTAAACTGCGATAATCCAGTAAAAGCAACAACGGGACACGAAGCGAGACAGCAGATTAACGATCAAGGGAGGATTTCGGAGGCGGCGGACAGGCAAAGGGTAGACTTACGTGAAGGGTTGGACGGCGCAAAGCGCTGCAGGGATTAGGAGGCTTCCTCGCGCTGCTCTACTCCGCGTCCCTCGTCGTCTGTGGTGTGCTTGGGTTGCTAGGGTTCGTCGTCGTCGGGAAGGGGAAGGGGAAGGGGAAGGGGAAGGGCGAGAAGAAGCAGAGGAATAGAGGGGAGGAGATGCCCTACGCAGTCTCGCTCGGTGTGTCGTGTTTGCGTTCGTGTTGAGTGTGCGTGCGAGAAATGGGGGAGGGAGTTTTCGGACCGCAGACAAGAGAAAATTAAAAATAATAATAAAAAAATAATAAATAATTTAAGAAATAAAGATAACATTTGTTTTGCTTCGTGCGAAATATCTAACGACTCGAGTTGCGACTTCAGACGTGGGATGACGAAGCGGGTGGCCGGGTTGTACCGGACCGTCTGCTTCGGTGTCCGAGCCTGGAACCAAAAGCAAGACCTGCGTCTTTTTTTTTTATTTTTTTATTTTTTTCCCTCTTTGATTAGATAGAAATGAGGTAACCCTAACATGGTTGACAATTAAGAAAAAGATTTGTTAGTGTCATTTTTTTTAATTTATTAAGTTTGAAATTAGATAAAAAATCAATCGATCTTAGAGTGGAGTGAGATATCCAAGATTAACAAATAAAGGCATCTAGGAAGTATTATTATGAGAAAAAAAAATATAAATAAAGATATCATGTATATGTTATTCGGTTAATTTGATTCTTATGTCTTAAGCCGATGTATTACATAAGGAGATGTTTTTTAAGATTATGATATATTATGTTCTTTGATGTTTATGTCCTAAATAGATGTATCATGTATGGAGAAATATTTTATTCGATTACGACTTATAGAACATTTTGATACTTATGTCTTGAGCGTATGCATCATGCATAAAATATTATTTTTTTCCTGATTATGAATGTATCACACTCTTAATACTTTATATCCCAAATAGATGCGAAAAGATATTTTATTTAGTTGTGATACATCGGGTGCCTTAATGTATATATATTCTAAGCGGAAGAATCTTGTTCATAGATATACTTTGTTTGGTTATGATGTATTAGATGTTTTGATGCTCATATTTTGATATAATACATCATCTAAGATGATGTTTTGTCGAATCGTGATATATTAGACGCTTTGATACTTATGTCTTGGATGGATGTATTAGAAGATTTTGCCTTATTAGCATACATCAAATATTTCAATACATATGTCTTAGGTGAATGTATCGCACATAAAGAAATACTTATCCAATTAGAGCACTTCAAATGTATCGATCGATCTTTTTCTTTCAATTTGAGTGATTTGATTGAGTGTGTTAGATGATGTGTATGGCTATAATGGATATATATTTTTATTCTATGTGGTTGGGTCAAACATTTTTTTGTATGATGAGAGTGGATCAAGTATTTTGGTCTAATAAAAAAGAAAAAAAGAAGAATTATGCTTTAGAGTGAAATAAGATATTAGTCATTCTAACAATTTAAGCTTAATGCTCAATACCTTTATTTTCTAAATTAGTTTATTTATGTTATTTTTCAAATTTAGATGGCATCTAGAAGTTCATTATTCTGATATAATCTTAGTCACCTAAATAATTTAATATTAATAATGAATATGTTCAATTATAATATTTATTAATATTTTTTTGAATCTTGACATGACAATCAAACATGCATAATAATTATCACTGACATCTATATATAATGCGAGTCAAAGTTATAATAAGTTGATTGGTTAAATCGCTTATCTCTTCGATTAGGATCGCGAGACAACCATCAAGACTAATGTTAACGTAGAAAGAAAACTAATATATATATATATATATATATATATATATATATATATATCAAATTTCATGCAAATTTTTCACTACATCTTAAGTTTCTAAATAACTTAAATTACAACTTTTTAAATTTAAATTGATATAAGGAGGTCTAATTTGACTCGAGAGGCTTAATAATTATAGGCAATAAAATAACAGTGAGAATAGATTGAATCTACATAAAATTTAAAATCAGACCTAATAGGAAGTCATTGGATCCAATTAGACAAGTGGATTATATGAAGATCAATTGGCATCCCTACTTGACAATGTGAAATGCACCTTATTAGCTGAAGCCATGCATTGTGGTATGAGCTTGGAATCAAACAAAGTAGAAAGAAACACATGCCTACCAGCCAATCTACACTGGTAGGTTTGAATTCAAGCTGACATGGTGTGACTCTGATAAAACAGGCATGCATGAAAACCATTTCATGTCTCTTGATTGATTGGTGAGAAGATTCGAGTCCAAGTGGCTTCTTCTTCTTCTTCTTCTTCAAATGATAGGCATCATGATTGCCAACTCCTCTTTGTCTGCAATGTTGCCAACAAATGTCCACAGATTTCCATGCAATGGGTGGCTGCGTCTGACATCACAGAAAGCCTGCTTTCCTGAAAGAAGACAAGTCTCATCTCAGAGGCAGAAGAAGTCAAAACAAAATTACTGCATGTAATGGCTGCACTAATCATTGATCACAGTCACATCACACACACCCCTTGATTGGAATGTTCTCAGCCTGCCTCAAAAGAATAAGATTTGATTTGGTGGCATCTGCTGCCCTCTGACCCTATCGCCTCCTGCCATGCAGGCAAAAGCTTTCACATGCCTCTCTGAGGGCAGAGAGAGAGAGAAGGCAGTGGAATGAAGACCATTAAACAACTGTGTACTCCGAGGATACTGAATACTGGTTCTCTTTCTTCACAGGAGCTGCCCAATAAAGTCTTGCAAGGTGGTTGAAAAAGCTGTGTGGAAGGAGTCATCCATCAATCACAGGACAGATTTTGATTGGAGACGATGAGGATGATTTGGAAAGCATAAAGTGAGGGCACAAAGGAGAGAAAGTGATGGACTTGATAAAGAGAATGGAGTGATTCTTCCGAGCTGACTTGTTGATATTGCTTTATTCTTTGGGAGTGTGTTTGGCCAGTCTCCTGCACACGATGGTGCAAGATTCAATGCATTTGAGCAAAAGACATCTAGCATTCAAATCTAAGTCTAGTGGTCCAGGATGCACTCCTAGATCATTGGAATCCAAAAAATTACTCTCAGATGTGGTTGGTAATGATGATTAGAAATCCAAGAAAACAAATGCCTAGCAAGCAGTATATTCTCATGTAGGACACTGCAGACTGACCATTAATATATTGCAAAGCATACTTAATTCCTTCGTATCTTCAACCTGAGACCAGGATAGAACTTTGCATCTGACATTTCAATTCATGCTGTTCTTTAACAAGGTGGGATTGTGCCCCAGAGGAAGTGCACAAAGCTTGTTCATTTCAGTGTCATGGCAGAAATAGAATTCAGATAAGAAGACATCAACCAACAAGTCAATTTCAACAGTGATACTGATGAATAAAGTGATGATTGCTGGATTGGCAATGGTGCTTCTGAGTTCAGCTCTGTTCATGGGCCTGTCTTTGGCACATGCATGAGTCCATGCCCATACCGACGTCGAAGCGAGCAGAGCCCGCAATTACTCCTCTCTGCAGTCTTGCATTCTGCTGTGTCTGCCCTGTATCCATCAACCAGCGTGCACGGCCTGCACGTTGATACCGTTTGACCGGCGATGGCGAGGGCCGGCTTCCGAGTTATAGTCGATCAAGGAATCATCACGACTTGGGACCTCGCCATGTCGCGTTCTGCGGTCGCCGTTCCATTTGGCGCCATTAATGCTGCAGACCGGATGCAGCACTTGCGGCGGATGTGGTCGGTGGTCGCTACTTCAGGTGCACCATGCCGGTGGCCCGCGCTGTCTCGCCGCGGAACAAAGTCCTCCGGGAGAGGCTCCTTCGCGGGCCTGCCCATGCCGACGACGAACCACAGCAGGTGATCTTATGTCAGCTACCATGTGGCGGAGTACGACACCACTGTGAGCGACTCACATGGAGGATGGCCCATCCCGCCCCTCCACATGACGGTGTCAATGAGATGGCAGCGGTGGCTGCAATTGACTCGAGAGAGTGCAGAAACAAGCAGGTGTTGTGGCATGCATTTGGACCCATCGAGCTATCCTGCATCCCCAGCATTGATGGCTGGGAGTGGAATCAGCATCGTCATCTGACAAGCTGGGCCACTGATTTCAAAGTTCGGATTTCTGTAGCTCTGTTTTGGGACATAAATCTTAGCTCCACAGAGGATGATATGTTCATGTCTGCTGCCCACATTTTCTCGCGTGAATTATGTTGGAGATCATGAAATGTTTTACCTCCATCCGCAAAAGAAGAGCAGCAGCTAAAGAGAAACTGCTCTTGTTGCAATGGAAGGGCCAAAGATGAGACACAGTGACATGATGTGCATGGCTTACGAAGGCTAGGGGCAAAACAACAAACACTTGATGCCTGAAACATCGGAACACCGTCATGCAGCCATTTGAGGAACGCAGCATGTAGAATTCCGTGGAGAGACGATCAAGTGCAGAAGCAGCTATCTTCTTCATGGACACAAGAAGATCAATATTGGTTGTGAGATCAGAGACTGTAGATCTACTCTGGACCAGCATTACTCGATGAACAACAGTCAAAATAAATGAATTTGGACATTTCATCTTCACTCTGCACAAGATCAAACACCTTGACGACACCGGTTTTCCTCACAGATGAGGGAGAGTCCTCAATTGCTTTCTCACAGAGAGAGAGAGAGTAATGGCTTTTTACTATCTTCTTGAAGTACTAAGAGAACTTTATCTTCCTTAGCCTAATATTCACATAGAGGAGGCCTCAAAAGGAATGAACGCAGAGATACCAAACTGAATTGAAAGAAGATGAAAGACTAACATAAAGTGACTTCACTTTTAAGTTTCACCAGTCAATCAACAGCTGATCGTTCTCATCTGTTCAAAGCATAAATGAAGAGTTAAATCATCCCACCTGCCAAAAGTGGATATAGCAAATCCTACAATGTGGCCACAGCTCGACAACTGGAGAACAAGAACACACCAAAGTGGAAGTGGCTGAATCATTCCATGAGGGAGGCAGCGAGAGTTCCACCTACACACAACTGCAGCATCGTATTAAACAATGCCGCTACTATCATAAGCTCAATAAACTAAGGACTAATCAACTTCTCCAACCCTGAACTTTATGCATTATTATATACATGTATGACTGGTGAGAAAGAGAGGGGATCATGCTTGAAAGATCTCGGAAGCTTTAGGCTCAAGCAAT